AAAAAAAAAAAAAAAAAAAGGGCTGCGGGCCAGCTAATTCCGACTGAGTGAACCGAGTTGTGACTAGCCCCTGCCTGGCCCAGGAGGAGGAGGGCCACAGCTGGTAGGCGGTGGGTGTCCCAGACTCTTATTGAAGGGTTAGAGGAACCCTCGACTGACAGAGGGTAGGTGACCTGGCTTCTGGCCAAAGCAGGGGAGAGACCTCACTTCTTTGTGCACATATGCAAATATATCTGTAGCATGAATTCCTAGAAGTGGAATTATTGGGTCAAAGGCTATGTTTTTGTTGTTGTTTTGATAAATGATGCCAAATTACCCTCCTAAATTGTACCCATTTGCCGTTTTACCAACAATATGTGTCTTTTAGGAATTTAAACTGAGATTTTGAGAGTTGTTCAACTGGTAGCAGGATCAGAAGATGAAAAAGTGCATGAAGGGAAGCCATGAGGTAGCAGAGGCCATGAATAATTAGATGTTATGAATAAGCTGAAGTTGTGAAGATGAAAAAAGATAACCCCAATAGAGGAAGTGGTAGGTAGGTGGTTGGTTGTAAGGCAGGAACATTAAAATCAAGGTAGAACCTGTTGTTAAAATAAATGTGGGGTATTCACAAAATCCTGCTGCTCAGGCTCCAACAACTTTGCAAAATATACGAACATATTCAAAGAAAAATGTGTTTAGCAGAAAGGGAATTTGTTCCTAAAGGAATGGTTATCAGGTGCTATCTAAGCACTGTCTCATACAGTAGTTCTCAAACTTTAGTGAGTATCAGAATCACCCAGGGGGGTGTTAAAACACAGACTGCTGGGCCAGGCATCAGAGTTTCTAATTGAGGAAATGAATTTTTGGAGTGGGGCGAAAAAATTTACATTTCTAACAAGTGCCCAGGTGGTGTTGATTGTGCTAGTCTGGGGACCACACTTTGAGAGTCACTGGTGGACAGGGAGTTTATGGTCAATAGATTTCAGATGTTCTGGCCCAGTGAGTGAAATCATCCTTGTGAAAGGATTTCACTTTATGCCATTAAACATTTTGTTTATTTAACAATCTGCTTTTTAAAACACTGTCTTCTCTAGGCTTCTGTGACTTTGCACCTCTCTTAGCACTTCTTTTTAATCTCCTTAGCTGGCTCCTATTTCTCTATCTGCTCCTTAAATCTTGATGTTCTTCAAAGATGAACGACCTCCACACACTGTACGTTCTCCCTGTACAATCTCAGCTATTCCCATGGCTTCAATGATCTTTTTCTTTTTTTTGGTGCAAGGATTGGAAGGTTTATTCAGATTTCCATGTCTCTCCTGGAGTCCCTGGCCTAAATTCTGACAAGACAATGCTTTATTCTCTTTTACTCTCCCTTTTTCCTTCCCTTTTCTCCTTTACCTTTCTCTGATTTTCTGAGCCCTCTCCTGCTGTTCTCAACTAAATGTCTAACCAAGCAAACAAACAGAAAAGAGGAACAGTGTAGTCCACTTTATCCTAGTCCCAATCAGCGGGGCCAACCTATTCCATTGACACAGTAATTGCTAAAAGCAGTTCTCCCCACTGTTGTTGGCCCAAAGAAGAAAAGTACTGACTAGATTTGAATCAGAGAAACAAAGCATAGCCAGGAGCCCTCCAGAGTGCACCTATACAGAACAGCAGGAGAGGGCTCAGAAAATCAGAGAAAGGTAAAGGAGAAAACGGAAGGAAAAAGGGAGAGTAAAAGAAAATAAAGCATTGTCTTGTCAGAATTTAGGCCAGGGACTCCAGAAGAGATTTCCCAGCAGGAGAGACATGGAAACAAAATAGTCCCAGTGGCCACTTGCCTCTTGTAGCTAGTCTCCTCTGGTGCCCAAGTTCAATGATCATTTTATGCTACTGACCCCCACAGTTTTATCTCCATCCCAGCCTTGTTCTTAAAGCTCCAATTGTATATATCCAAATGCCTATTGATGCTCAAATACATCTCAAGTTGAATATTTCAAAGACTGAACTCACCTCCATCCCCCCCCTACATATTCTTTCCCTCAAAAAAGCCCACTTTCCTTCTGTGTTCCTTGTCTCAGTGAGTGGTGGTACCACCAGCTGGCAATTGCTCAAATGAGAAACCTGAGCACTGTGCTTGATTTCTACCTTTTCCTCACCAAGACCTGTCTGTTTTACCTCCTAAATATCTCTTGCATCCGTTCACTTCTTTTGGCCTCTGCTATGATTATAGCCAAGCTAATCCCACCTCTGGCTGAGTCTGGTATAGTAACTTCTTGTCTAGTCTTCCTGAATCTATTCTTGTCCTCTTTCATTTCTTTTTCCGCACTCAGCCAAATTGATCTTTAAGAAAGTATGTAATCATGTCCCCTTCAGTGGCTTTGTAATAACATTCTGTCTTAGTCAGCTCGGTTGCCTATGATAGTCTATGACAAATACCATACACTGGGTGTCTTAAATAACAGAAATTTATTTTCTCACAGTTCTGGAGGCTGGGAAGTTCAAGATCAAGGTGCCAGCGGATTCGGGTCCTGGTGAGGCCTGCTGTCTTCTTGGGTTGCAGACAGCCAAATTATTTCTGTGGCCTTTCCTCAGTGCTTGTGCACAGGGGGAGAGAGAAAGATCCCTCCCTCCTCCTCTTCTTATCAGGCCACTAATCCCATCTACTCTCATGATGTAATATAACCCTAAGCACCTCCCAAAGACTCCACATCTCCAACTACTATCACATTGGGGGTTGGGGCTTCAACAAATGAATTTGGGGGAAACACAAACATTCAGTCCCGTAAAACACTATAAATTTCTAAATATAAAGACAAATATAAACTTATATGTATTTTTCTAGATTATATAAATAGTATGTTTATATATAGTAAATATATATAGTCATGCATCACCTAATGACCAGGATACTTTCTTTTTTTTTTTTTTTTCCTTTTTGTCTTTTTTCGTGTCCGGCAACGGATCGCAACCCTCAGTGTCACGCCCGTACCGGACCGGGACCGGCAACGGGATCGCAACCCTCGGCGCTGCGCCCGCACCTCGCTCAGCCAGTGAGTGGGAACTGGTCTGTATGTGGGATCCGAACCCTCGGCGGGAGCGCCGCCGCTCTCCCAAGCGGCGCACTGTACAGTGCGCCACCGGGCCGGCCCGACCAGGATACTTTCTGAGAAATGTGTTTTTAGATGATTCTGTTATTGTGTGAATAATAGTGTACTTACATAAACCTTGATAATTTAGCCCACTACACAGCTAGGCCATATAGTATAGCCTATTGCTCCTAGGCTACAAACCTATACAGCATGTTACTGTACTAAACTCTGTAGGCAATAGCGACACAATGGTATTTCCGTATCTAAATGTAGAAAAGTTGCAGTAAAAGTACAGTATTATAATATTATGGGACCACTGTTGTATATACTGAAATGTTATGTGACACGTGACTGTACAGATAAGCATAGAGATAAATCTAGCAAGGCTTCGAATGATGTGGCCTTTTCCTGTTTCTCCTGTTTCTGAGTTTCAGCTTAAACAAGTTGCCCTTTTATTCCTCTCACTCATCCTCTAGCCATACTGGATTTCTTTCCATTTTTAAAATAAACCAAGCTCTACACTTCTTCATACCATTTCATACTGAACACTCTTACCATCTTCAATTCCCCTCTTTCAGCCATTCAGCAAATTTATAAAAATCTTTTTATGGGCTGGCCCGGTGGTGCACTCGGTAGAGTGCGGCGCTTGGGAGCATGGCGGCGCTCCCGCCGAGGGTTTGGATCCCATATAGAGACCGGTCTGCTCACTGGTTGAGCGCGGTGTGGGCGCGACACCGAGGGTTGCAATCCCATTACCAGTCATGAAAAAAGACAAAAAAAGGAAAAAAAAAAAAATCTTCTTACAATGAAAATCCTCATACATATACAAAATCAGAGAACAATGAGAACAGCAGTTGCCCTTGGAGAGATGGGGTAGAGGTTGGCTGGGAAGGAACATTAAGGAACTTTCTGGAGTGATGGAGATGTTCAGTGTCTTGATAGGGTTTAGGTTACATGGGTGTATACATTTATTGGTATCCATCAAATGGCATACATAAGGTTTGCACATATTACTGTAAGTAAGTTTTAACTTTAAAAAAAGAAATGGAAAATTTTTTGAACTCTATTCCATTGTAAGAATAGAGTTTTTTTGAAATTTTTTATGATATGCACGTATGAAGGGGCGAAGTGTACTGATGTCTGCAAGTTACCTTGAAATACATCAAAAATAAGATGGTGGGCTGGCCAGTTAGCTCAGTTGGTTACAGCATGGTACT